TTTTCTCAGAAAACATATTTCTAAATTGCTGTTGACTTGAAAAATTATCACCAGATATTGATAACAACAGCTTAAAGACGACTCTCATGTTTAGAATGAAGTTAGATGCATTGCTCAGGTGTGAATTTTCACAGACTTCAACAGAGTGTAAAAATCATGATCTTTCTGGGGTCTCGTCTATCAAATCTGAGCTTTATTTTGTATTTTCTATTGGATTCAAGTCAGATGATTGCCTGGGCCATTCTACAGCTTGATTTTCTTTCTCTGAAAGCATTTAAAAGTTTTCTGTGGTTTGGATTGTCTTGCTTAAATGTCTAGTCTGGTTTCATCTTCATCATTCTGGTAATGCAAATGTTGGACTGAAGCAGCTAATATTATTTACATTGACAGAGGGTTGCTGAATAACTACGGAGAGATTTCAGCTGTTGTCTTGGCTTTCACTGCCTTTTTATACTTCCCTTTCTTCATGTGTTCAATACTTTTTTTTTTTGTTATTTCATTTTAATACACAACACTTTTTTTCTTTTTACATATGTATTTCTTTGGTTGTTATCAACATCTGGTGAACATTTCAAGTCAACAGCACCTTAAGAAATATGTTTTCTGAGAAAAATGGTGATGTGCTGAATATGTATTTCCCCCGCTGTTTATGTGCAAAGTGCAGTTAAATTGCAACTTGTCATCGTAATGTTCTTTGGATGTCTAATAATGTTTCTTCAAATACATTTCTGTAAAAAAAGCTATTTTTATTCGTCCAAGTGGACAGTAAAAGCTCTAAAAAAGCTCCACACAAACTCACCCTCCAGTCTCGAGCGAATATGGCATCCACCAGTCTGATGAAGTTGGTGAGTGAGCACTGGAAGGCCAGCTGCTGGATGATGGCATCACAGAGGCTGGTGGAGGAGTCAGAAGGACAGATGTCCATGTTTCCAGCAAATGGGGAGATAGTGAGGGCGGGAAAGGAGTCCTCCAAGGGCTGGATGTTGGTGAAGCCTCCATCCATAAAGTGCTGGTAAAAGCAGAGATGCTTATTTCAAGTAGTATTGATTTTAAGCTATTTGTTTGTTTTTACTTTTACTTACCTCGCCTTTATATTGGGGTGGAATCACACCAGCGAGAACAGGAATAAAACAGCTGCACAGAAGCGCCTTGTTGAGGAGAAAAAAGTCAGTTTAACTGGGAAATATAGATCAAATTACTAGACAATTTAAATTTTTAACATTAGATTTGACAAGAACACAACAAAAGTGTAAAATTACTTTTCTTCAACTGACAAATGAAGATCATACATGTTACATTGTTTCCATATTTCTCTCTCTCTCTCACTCTTTCTCTCTCTCTGTGTGTGTGTGTGCGCGTGTGTGTGTGCGTGTGTGTGTGCGCGTGTGTGTGTGTGTGTGCGTGTGTGTGTGTGTGTGTGTGCGTGTGTGTGCGTGTGCGTGTGTGTGTAGTAGGGCAGGAGGTGAAACTCCTCAGAGCCACTTAAACCCCATTAGCGTCCCCATTTGCCCCACTTCTCAAATGGCCTTCACGTCAATACAGGCCCTTTTAAAAAGCTGCAAGATCCATCGGCTAAAAGCCATTAGGACACACACACACACACACACA